AAGCAGCCCACACCAGTGGAGAGGCTCCAGGGGGCAATTCAAGTAGTGCCCACAGAGCTCAGCCCAGCTCTGAACACACTTACATGGTGGAGCTCTGGTAGCTCTTCACGGGCAGGCCCTGCTCTGTCCTCACCAGCCTCTGGAACGATATCCCTGTGGGACAGAAAAGAGGACATGAGAGATGGCAACTGGAGGAGGACTTACTGCCCCTAACCTGGCCTGAGGTTGGCAATCAGTCCCAAGTAGTGCCCACAGAGCTCAGCCCAGCTCTGAACACACTTACATGGTGGAGCTCTGGTAGCTCTTCACGGGCAGGCCCTGCTCTGTCCTCACCAGCCTCTGGAACGATATCCCTGTGGGACAGAAAAGAGGACATGAGAGATGGCAACTGGAGGAGGACTTACTGCCCCTAACCTGGCCTGAGGTTGGCAATCAGTCCCCTCCAGCTGGCACAAATCCTGGTGGTGAAGACAGAGAAGGTGCTGGAGCGGAGCAGGAACAGACCCAGCCATGAGTGAGGGAGTGTAGAAGGAAAGGCTGGAAACACAAGGCACAGATAGAGGTGATGGGAGAGTAAGCAGAGGGCAAAAAGGGAGAGCTGCCCAGTTCTCTGTGAGTGGGCGGCAATAGCAAAGCCTCTTTCACCCCAAAAACACAGAGAGATCACATGCAGCTTTGAAACACAGGTCTGGGAAAGATCCTGCAATATCGTCATGGTTCAGCACCCCTGTTACTGCAGTCCAGGCTGCTCACAGCCCGGGAGGAGCATCCACAGGCACCCAGGACCCAGGTTGCCCAGCACCAGCTCTCTGATGGCTCACAGTCCTCCTTGGGATTCCTTGGCCTACAGTTGCCTTTAGCACTCTTGCTCAGCAGAAAGCTCGGGCCCAGCTTGCAGATATTGCATCCTTGGCAAATACCGATTGCTGCTTGTTCTTAGTTAATATTTACTCGCATCTCAATAAAAAGCTTTGGCTTTAGCCTCGTGGTATGTCCCAGATCCTATGGAAAAGGATAGGAGATCCCGGACAGACTTGCAGCAGAGGCTGCAACTTTGCTGTTCTCAGCTCAGCTGGTAGGGAGAGGCAGTGGCCAGTGAGCAGCCCTGCTCTCCCCTGGCACAACGTCACCTCCAACACCACAATTTTGGGCAGGGTGGGGAAACCTCCCATGTTTGTAAGAAAGGAAAAGCCCCTGGATCAAAGTCCCCAGCGTAAACTCCCCTGCACATCAGTGACAGCGTGACAAGAGCAGGATATAGCAAAATCTCCATGGCACTGACATTTTCCCAGCAGTGCTTGAACAGCCACGGTGGGTGTCACAGCAATAAGTGACCAGGAAGGAGTGAGGATGCCCATGATGTTTGCGGATCACCAGCTTGGCAGTAGCTGGGCATGTTTCCACCTTTGGAGCAGACCCAGCACCGGCTCCAGTCACATCCAGGCTGTCCCTGCATCTCCATGGGACGTTGCTGCAGGACTGGGGTGGTGTCCCCATGTTACATGCCCTGCTAGCAGCGTGGTGCAGCATTGCTGCCAGCCTACGCATCCATGCGTGCTCTCCTAAGCCCTGCTCGGAGCAGGTCGTGGTGTCACAGCCTCACGTAGGGATTAAACAAGTGCTGAAATCTGCTCTATTTGTGTAATAATGACTCCACACGAGCCATTAAAAGATGGTAAGACTAGGAGAAAGGGCCTTTTGGAAATAATTGGAATTGCTGCTCCACTGAGTACAACAGGACACATCCACAAGGAGTCCTTAATTAAGAGCAGTACAGCTACTGGTGATAGATGTGCCCAAAGTCATATCACAAAGTAGTGTCTCCACTATAAAGAAACAGCTGGGGAGTTCCTCAGACGCTACGGAAACTTCCATGCAACGGTAGGCACAAAGGCTAAAGCCACCCTGATGCGCGTGAACGGACCCACTGTTATTACCCCAATTACGCACCAAGTCATTGAGCATTTCCAACAAAGCCCTGGGCAGGCGGAAGGAGCAAGCACGTGCTTTGCCATGCAAAAGACCCACCAGACCGAAAGGCAGCCACAAGGCAATAACCCTTTTTGAAAATCCATACAGCTCCGACATTTGTGGGATGCTCCCACTACCTTGCAAGCAAGGCACTCCCTGAAAAAACCCAGTGATCCAGCTCTGCTCCTCCAGAGAAATCCTCAGCCCCTCACTACAGTGCTCCAAGGGAAAAGTCATGCCAGCATCACAGTGCTGTGGTGCGGGAGCGTGCGGGCAGATTGCTTCTTACCCGGGGCCTTGAGCTCGTCGCTGATGAAGCTGAGCAGCTCACGGAAGATGTCGCAGTAGGGCACGGGCCAGGTGAGGAAGTTGTGGTAGATGGTGATGGCCTTCAGGAGCATGTCAGAGTCTGGAGGGAAGTGAGGAGCCTGCCAGGAATGGGAGAACACAGTTAGGAGCAGAGCAAGGAGCCGGGCATCAGTGTCTGAGCCACCACCACCCTCAACCTCTCTTTCCAGAGATGTCCAGGCAATCACTACATAAGAAAGCGAGGGTTTAGGCTGGAAGTAAGAGAAGAAGGACCAGACCAGAGGTTTGCCATGGAACAGCCTGTCCTGCTCCAAGGAAGGGTCAAAGAAACCTCTTTTGGCAAAGCTACAAAAAGGCTTCATCCTTTCTGCACCTCCCAACCTCTGTGCCAAAGCCAGGGAGTTTTTCCTGATTAAACATATCTTTTTTTTTGCTTGTTTGATTTTGGACAACAAAAGATGAATCTCATTAAAGCCTGAGCTTTTGCAAGATCTGGCAGCAATGATTTCCTTGGGATAATGACATATTGTGCTAATAATAATAGTTAAAAAAAAAGTTTCCTGTGAAAGCTCAGCTCCCTCTTTTCATTAGAATTGCCTGTGTATTTTGCACAATTGTAAGGGGCAATGAAAAATTTGCCTTCTCCGCACAGAAAGATTGTCCAAGTCTTTCAGAAAAACCCATCTTTAAATACAAAGAGAGCTCATTTTCTTCCGCCTCTCGCAGCTTGCACATCAGCTGCCTAGTTTTAATCCCTGTAGATTTGCACTAGATCTTTTTTTCCCCGAGATGACTTGATCAAAGCAGACTGGGATCTTTCAGATGAAAAGGACCCTGATTTACGTGACAACACTCCTGGGCTCCCCCGGGGCCCCAGCTCTGGTGTCCCCCAGGCACTGGGGCCTAAGCCACCCTCAGCAGCCTCAAGACTTACATATAGGACCGCGTAGTAGAAAAGCAGAGCCAGAGGGGTTACAAGATCATAGTCGCACTTCTCCTGAACCTGCAGGAAAGAGCACAAGGGGAGAAGGATGAACGTCACTCTGATGCTTTTTCCAAGATGCCAGGGTGTCCCCGATAATGCCACCAAGTGCCCAACCCCGCAACGTGACATCCCCATCCCCATTGACCCTCGCTTGGTTGCGCGCTTGACCCTCGGACCCTTTCAGTCTTTCTGCACAAGGTTTTAGGAAAGTGACTCAAAGTGGGTGCGCTGGGGAGGCAGTCAGCAGCACGCTGCAAATCGGGCCTTTTCGCCACATCTTCACTGATATAAAAGTTATTTCAGTGGGATATGGCGGAGAGCATGCTTGCAAACACCATCTCTCCTCACTTGGGATCAGGGTATAAAGTGAAATATACCTCCAAAGTTGTCCATGATCAGCTCAATTACAGCCGTTAAAAAAAAAAAAGAAGAAAAATCACATTTGGGAAGGGGGGAAATAAAGTGATAGTCTTCTTAGTTTGCCTGGTTCTTTCTCCCAGATTGCCTTTTTTTCCAGACTTCCTCTGAAGCCAGGCTGCTGGACCACCCTTCCCACCCTGAGGAAGGGACACCAGCATCTCCCCCATCACATGAATGGGAGCACAGCGGCATTGGGAGGACTGCCTGCCTTTCCAGCTACATCAAGGGATTCCTCAGCGATCTTCCCAGGCATGCCGGGATGTGACCTGGGCAGGCTCTCCCACCACGTGCCGGGCAGCTAGTGCCACCTCCACTTGCCCTGCTTTCACTCCCTGGTCGAGCAGAGCCATGCTGGGGTTTCCATTAAAAACAACAGGAAACCCTCAGTTTGCTCTGACCCACACTAGTGGCTCCCACCGCTGGGAAGGCCGGCTCCATCCACACAGCTGGAAGGGCTTGATCCCTGCCCAGGTGGCACGAGGACCAGCGTCCCAGCAGCCAGGGCCAAATGGCGTGTTGGGAACCCCAGCTTCTTCCTCTGGGATCTGTGGTGCAATTCGAGGAGCAACTCAGGCTTTTGCTTGCAGCCCCTGGGACATAGAGATCTGCTCTGGCCAGAGCTGACATTGTCCCAAACCCAGGAGTGATGGGGACGAGCAAAATTTTGATTGGATGGGGCAGGTCTCCCAGCCTTACCCAGCACCAGGGGATATCGATAGAGAAACAGCAAAGAACCAATGCGGTTAATTCACCCATGCATCCATCACACCCCCGTAATAAACATTGCTGAGGCAGAAGAGAATCTTTGGAGCCAGGAAGAAGCCAGGCTCCCCTCTGCTCCCCGGGCTCACCTCTTTGGCTTTGCTGAGGATTTTCTCCACGAGGATGAGGTAGTTTCCAGCATCTCGGCTTACTAGCTCCTGGAGGCTCCAGCAATTCAGGCATAGCCCGGCTAGGAGGGAAACACAGAGCAGTCACGATTCATTCCCAGTTGGAGAGGTCCACAGGAGGGACGCGCAGTGGGAAGGGGTCATGGCAAAGGCATTGCTGCTGCTGCTGTCTTCACCTTGGCAGCATCGCATGGTGCCTGCGTGTTGTCCTGCTGTGACTCGTGACCAAACACACGTAGCTCAGGTTGGTGAACGGCCCCCATAGCAAAGTTAATCCACCCGCTCCCCTGCGCTGCTGCAGGTCTGGAGTGGCGGACAGAGGGATGTGCATGCATGGATCAGGGTGAACATGCCACATTCCTCCTGGGACAAGCAAAAAGGCTTGCTAGCCCAGGGCCCTAACCTGCTATGGCCTGGCCCAAATGCTCCAGGGATGTTGTCACAACCCCCGGACCTGCCCCACCACACTCCCAAAAAGACCCAGGCCCCAGCATGGCTGCAGCGGGGCCATGGGCTGCTGGGGCTGAGGAGGTGACAGCCAAGTGCTCTCCATCCTTCAGCATCAGCTCCCTCCTGTGGGCGCAGTCACTGAGAAACCAAGGCAAGTTGGAGCGAGGTGACCAAATCACTGGCCTATTCCTAGAATTCCTGTTTCTCACTGCTAGGATGTGACTGGTGACCAAGGCACCAGGGGGTCTCTCAATGTCTTTGCTCTTCCTGTCTCAGCAGCTCCTCTGGGACAACCTCCACCCTAACACCTCCTGCATGGCCTTGGAGGAAAGGATCAGTGCAAGGGCCAGCACAGCTCCTCTGCTCCGCTCTGGCCACTCTAGGGGCAGATCCAGCTCTGCAGAGCGAGAAGGACCGAGGAACACATTTGCTAGAAAGTTCCCAAGCAGCCCTGATGCACCCTGTTCAAGGCTGAAGGGGGACAGGGCATACGGTGGTTCCTCCAGCTGTGCAAGCAGCACTCAACACACCTGCCAGCTGCCTCATCCGTGGCCACCAAATCAGGCAGGGGATGGCTGAGAGCAGCAGGTGACTCCATGGCCAAGCACAAGTATGTGAGCAAGACCAAGTACGGTTGCAATTTTTAATTTTGCTGCAGTATTACCTGTATTTTGCTGGGTTTGGGTAAAAACAAAATGCTCTTACTGGGGCCTTGTATTGCTATACTCAGTTTGCAAGGGCACAGCCTCAGCAATTTGCCAGTTTGAATATGTTCCTGTTTTCTTCTGAAATTCTTTCCTGCTAAAGCAGAGACACGAACCCAGCAGATTGCTCAAGAAAATCAATATTGTGCTCAAGCGCGGCATCCTCCAGGGAAAGCCCTTTTGAGAAAGCCCCTATCCCAGCAGGAGCAGTAAGTGCTGGCAGGAGCATCACTGAGAGCATTGCCGGGGCACTCTGGATGCACCTGCTGAGGCTCGGCCTGAATTCCACACGGGAATTGGAGTGACAGGGGGAGCCCAGGTGAGAGCAGCAGGGCTGGATGACATCTCCGCACACCACCAGACGAGGAGCAGGCTGCTTCCTGCACCAGCATGACCGCAGGCACAAAGAGCCCAGCAAGATGCAGGCTCTTTCCTTCCTCTCTGCCCTAGCGAGAGGGGAGGAAATTGCAGCGGGGACCCGCTGGGCTGCACCAGTCCCTCAGCATGGAGTGGGACACGCGTGCCTGAGCCCCTACATTTGGCAAAGCACTGCTGTTCAAGCCCCTGCACAGCTGAGCCCTGGCTAAAAGCACTCCCCAGCGCGACACATTGCAGCTGAGAAATCCCCGGACACCGCATAAAAAGACCAAGGAGCAAAAGGAAGGGTCTGGTGCCACCAGGCAACAGCCAGGACATCACGAGGATGGGCCCCTCAGTGGCAACTGCCTTCGCTCACCAGGGCGCACACGGCCTGGACAGCACCCATGTCCTGGTGCCGTGAGCAGAACTACTCCCTGGGGACATATTCCTGGAGCTCAGCTAATAAAGATATTTGGGCACTGAGCATGATGTTTTCCCATGCAGGATGGGGCCATTTCACACTCCATCCTCCTGCAGGTGCCTGGAGGGCTGCACCACATACCAGGGATGCGGTGGGTGCTTCAGCAGCTAGACAGGATTTTTAAGAGCTGCAACAAGACAAGAGCTGCAACACAGCATCAGTTTTATTCCCAAGGGTCAGAATGGGCCAGGGGGAGATGGTGGGCTGGTAAAAAAAAAAAACAAATCTAGCAATGTATTTTCATACTCCATCCCATTTTTTTCCAGAGAGTGGAACTGCCCTCTGGAAATACCCTATGGACTCCCTGTGGAGAAAACCAGCATCATCTCCACAGCAGACAGCAACACGCGAGGAGCTCATACGGCTGCTGCTCCCTCTCCTAGACTTTGCATTCGTCTGTAATTCTTGCAAAATCATTTCTTGCCATGAGTCCCAAGCAGCTGGGGATGCTCCTAGATGTGTCCTCCTGCAGCAGGGCTGTCAAGGGATGCTCTCGCTCGTCACAGCAGGAGCTGGGCTTCCCGTTGCGGTCTCGCTAGTGAACGACTCATGCTGGAAAGTCCTGCCTTGGTGGGGAAACCCTCCGCATACCTTGCTGATGAGAGCTGCCAGCAAGGCAGGGTTGTCGCAGAATGGCCAAGCACCTCCCAGCCCGGGAAAGCAGAAAGTAAAATAGCATAAGCCAAAACAAGTCGGTTCTACATTTCCAAGGCAAGCAGTCCAGCAAGGAGCATCCTATCATGCAACTGCAGCCACCAGAGTCCCGACACGCTCATCACAGGAGAGCTCCCATCCCACACTGCCGAGAGTAGCCCTTGTGAATGCACCTCACGCAGGAGACAGGGACAAGGGTCCCAATTTGTCCCGTGACAACAGAACAGGAGCAGAAGCACAATGAGACCCCGGTTATCCCGGGTGCCTGAACAAGACCATGTGCTACCTCTGTCATGAAGCCCAGTGCAGGACGCTGTGCGTTTTATTTGTGCAACCTCAGGCTCAGCACTACACACCTCCACTACCTGATCCCAAGAAAAACCTCCCTTTGGGAGCTCGAAACCTTGGAGGGGGGATATGGTGCAGCACCAAGCCCGGGCCCAACCGGTGCATGTGGCAGAGGAGCTCAGTCACACTTGTCGCTCTTGCTTCGATCGCTATCGGCACCAACCAAGCTTAGGGCAGGGCACCTCGCACGAGCGGCAGCGGGCGAAGAGCCTGTGGGCGGCTTCGGAAGGATGAGGCTTGAAGATTCTGTTCTCAGAACTGCACCGAGACATCCTCTCCTCGCTGAGTGCCTCCTTCCTGAATTTGGCAGTCGCGGTTGATGTTTCCCCTTTGCTGCTCTGCATGGGGGCAAGCAGCAGCTTGGAAAAGAAACAACCAAGGCCGTATTGCCCCACAGCGAGTAGTGCCCGGTGTTGCCAAAGGTGACACGGACCAAGCAGCTGACAAAAAGCAAAGGGATGTCATCATTTCCCTAGGTTGTTTCAAGAGGCTGCTCAGAAGGACTGCAAAGGTCTCACCAGCTCAAGGAATTGCTTTGCAGGATCCAGCACTGAGCTCAAGACAGTCTACCCTGCAAGGAGCCGTTTAGTTGCAAGGTAGAGCAGCCCCAGGGAGACTTCTCTGGATCCTGGACCACAGCTCCCGTGTCCCATGCAGCAGCTTGGCCCACCTGCACTGGGCTCCCCAGCACCTCTTAGGACTGCATCCACCATGGGTACCTCTGGGCTCAGCCTCCACCCACTCCGAGGCCCATTCGTGAGGGTTGTGGGTGCCAGGACAAGCATTTCTGATGCTCTTTCTTTATCCCAAGATGGCTCCATGACCCATCATGGTCTCCCATGCAATGGGACCTACGCAGCAGTATCCTGCTGCGTGTGGCTGGACCTCAACCACAGAAGGACTGGTTGAGATCATCTAGGTCAGACCCCCTGCTCAGACAGGATCACCTAGAGCAGGTTGCCCAGAAACACGTCCAGGCCACTCTTTAATATCTACAAGGATGGAGAGCAGTGGAAAAACCCATTGTAAGCCTGGGGAAATGGGTCTGAAAGACAAAATTTGCTCAACATACTGTTATTCGCACACCCCATCACTAGCTTTGGGCTGGCGCTATTTAACCCACAGATGCCACCACGAGCAGACTTGGAGTGCCAAGCTGTGATTGTGCAAGGCCAATTCTCTGCCTTGCTAGCTTCACAAACCTCAGCTACTCAGTCACCTATTTCTGTGGAGAGATGATGATGTATCGGAAGTGAACGCTCAGCCACTCTGGAGCAACCTGCCGTAAAATTATTGTGTAAAAATAAAGCACTAAATAATTCAGAAAATAACAAAACTCTAATGACATTCCAACCCAAAAAACTGCACTGCAGTGCATTATTTTACCATTTAAAAATAATGAAAAGGAGGGAAAAGCAATTAAATTGGAAAAGTGATATAAGAAGTTAAAAAGCAAAAAGGAGAAGGCTACTGTACAACTAAGAACAGGATGGAAAGATTCATCAAGAATATGTGGAGCAAAAACTTGCTTTAAATAACAGCTTAGACCTGGTAAGAGACGAGGACAAAATCATTCATAACACAGGAAAGGCAGAAAATGAAAAACATTTCTGCTCTATTTTTGAAAAGAAACAGGACGCCTTCTTAAGGTCTGTACATAGATATCTGCATTATTCTTTTTCTTCCCAAATCACGTATGTTACTGCAATAACAACATATTTCCTATTCCGATTGCAACCGAGTAGGATGTGAGACGGCAGCTCTTCAAAGCAAACATAAGAGTCAGCAGGATGAGAAAACCCACATCCAAGAGCTAAAAGTTTTGGCTGAGAAAGTCTGCCCGAGGGCTGTCCGGAAAAGGTACCCTCGGGCAGGGGACAACACAGTTATTACCATTGCATCTACCGATAACTACGGAAACCGGGGTTTGTTGGCTGAAGATTTTTGGCAAGAGCACAAATGTGGCTGATGAAAGGGAACTTTCTGATGTGAAAAACGCCCAGGATTCTCCCAGTAATGTCAGGTCACTTTGCCACATGCATAAAGCTTATGTGAAGCAGACCAAAAGCAGGCTGATAGGTAGCAGAAAATCATTTGGAACACAGAAGTCACCAGGCTGCTTCCGAGAGGGGCCACACCACCGAACTGCCGCCCAGCAAAGCCTTACCTTTGCTAATGAGCTGGACAAATTATGAAGAAGTCGTTTTCTAAAGGCTGCTCCCGTACAAACAACACTGAGGGTCTGGGATTATGCAAGGGTGAAGTTTGTGAGTGACACAGAGATTGATTAATTATAATTACGGGAGAGGCGAGTTGCAGTGAGCACAATGAAATGCTTGGCAAGGTGGACGCGTTTGAGGGTATGCTTTAACAGAGCCAAAAGCAAGGTTGCTCTTCCAGGAACAGTGACTGTAGGTCACATTTCAAGGATTGCTTCCCACAATGCAGGGGTCTTTCATGATACACTTTTATCCACAAGACTAACAAGGGCTTTAACTGCAGTGTAAAAGTCTGCAAAAGTGATAGTAGGAGAAAGAGTCGTGGAAATGTCATTTGGAAATGACACCTCTGCTGCACACTGCTGCCTTGCCCTCACCACCTCATGCTGAATCCCCTTGCAGCCCACTGAACAAGGCGCAGGTCCTTAGGATCAACATGATATCTGAGCTAGATTTAAATAAGACTGATATAACACTTGTTTCTGACAATGCAGCAGAGATATTCACATAGGTTTTGGGATATACTTGTATCAAAGCAAAGCAAGGTGGATGGCTAAACCAAAAAAGCTTTTCCTCATGGTGAAAAGAGATGTTCCTGATGTAGGAATGACTGGCAGGATACACAGCATCTCTGTCAGGTCTTTACCTATGCAAAACATAACACAAATTGTTCAGCATCTTGGTACATCTTCCCACAGCAATGAGAAGCACAGGAAGACGGATTGGGTGGGATCCAACCTCTAACTATGAACCTTGGAAGGGAAAAAAAGGCTTCCTCTCTCTCAGTAATCCCAGCAGGTCACTCCTAACCAAGTGCTCAGGTAGGCTGGTAACAGAAGCCAAATGGAAGCCAGGGACAGAAGAACAGAAGAGCCTGGTCTCGTCCCCTGTCAGAGAAGTGAAGTTGGCCCAGGGCCATCAGGTCACCTACCAGCCCATCTGCTGGAGACAGCATCTCTGCTAAGCCCATGTAGACATCTTTCCAGTGCATGATAGATCCTGTCCTCCGTGCACGTGGTGTGCTGCATTTTAATTCATCTCCTAAAGAAAGAGAAGGAAGAAAGTTAGCGCACCGGGTCTTTAGTCAAGAACAAGGGAAAAAACTCCAAAACATTTCCTTAGTGCAGACAAGATAGCCCAGCTGATGCCCCCTTTCCAGTCCCAAAGCCAACATCATGCTCCCCTCTGACAGCCATCATCTTCCACTCTGCTCCCAACCATGGCAAAGGTGCCCATGTTTGGGACTTAAGCACCAGTGAGGCCAACAGGCTTAAAGCCTCCCCACAAGGTGTCACATACACGTCTGTGTCCTCACGGTTCCTGCTGGTGGGATGGAGAAAGTCCTACACACACATTTGTGGCAAGGAGGTAATCTTGGGTTAGTTTCCATCGATGATAGCTTTGCGAGAGATCAGCACTGCAACACTTTGCAATAGGCTTGGGTGGAAAAGGAGACAGAAGACTCCAAGCTCCTACAGTCTGCACTGTACAGGAATCATTTCAGGTGGCTCTAATATCCACCGGTGGCAGTTGCAAAGCCCAGGTGCGAGCCATGCAACGGTCAGGATTGCTACATGATGTCTCCACCACCGTTCACCTTGCTGCTGTGCAGCCAACATGAAGAAAAGGTCCAAATGTCCCTGTGGCAATGAAGGAAAATACTGGGGCGGTGCCAGGCTGAGCCCAAATGCCAGAGGATGTTGTGAAATAGCAGATTGCATGCCGGGCTGCAGACTTTTCACAATCCATCTCTCCACGCGTCCGCCTCTCTTCCAGCATTCAGGGTACAAACCTAAGCCTTGGGCTGGCAGGAAGGTTTTATCCCATCCTGCTCAAACGTACCAGCCTGGGGCCTTGAAAATAAAACCAGGACAGCAGCAGTCACACACGCACCCATTCTGTGAGCCAGAGACCTCCTCCTTCACTGCAACCTCGTCCCCAGCCGCACTGACACTGGGCACCCACCTCTCCTCTCCCAACACACAGGGAATCTCTCTTGCAGACTCTATTTCTTGGTTAAAATCAACATGAATAATCAAAAAATATCACAGGGAAAAGAATGAAATAAAACCTGCCAACACCAGGAAAAACATCAGCTGAGGGGGCCTCTGCTTTCATCCAGGTCAGCACATTCCTTTCTTTCCCT